GGCAGAATAATGTGCACCAGGAAGATATGGCCGCCCCTTCACCACGTCCCTTTTCATTTTCATTTAATTTATTTTAAAACATGATATGATTTAACAATGTTTACATGGAATGCTTCATAAACATGCATCACGTTTCAAAAAGGAGCAGGATGAAGCTTATAAGCTTATTAAACCCTCAGTTACAGTGGGGGAAATAAGTATTTGACCCCTTGCTGATTTTGCAGGTTTGCCCACTTACAAAGAATGCAACGATCTATAACTTTAATCATATGTACATTCTAACAGTGAAAGACAGAATCCCAAAGAAAATTCCAGAAAATCACATCATATGAATTTATAAAAATTGATAACCATCTGATCAGGGAAAAATAAGCATTCTTTGTAAGTGGGCAAACCTGCAAAATCAGCAAGGGGTCAAATACTTATTTCCCCCACTCTACATGAGTCGTGGTGGTAAAGGACAATTATTTACAGTAAGAAAAACAGTATACCAACTTTTTAATTATTTTTATTTTTTTGTATTCATCAAAAATAATTTTCTTATGTTCTTTTTTGAATTGCTGGATGCTATTACATTGTTTGATATTTTCTCTGCTAATTGATAAAGCCCCTCCATCCATCCATCCATACCCTGCCTATATTATGTATATATAGATATATATATATTATGGATGTTATTATTATTCCTGCGTGTCGTCATGTCGCCCCCGCTTCTCTCCTTCCCCCGAGCAAGGCAGCGGGCACCGCTGGCACCCCGCCAGATTACCCAATCAATCTCCTCTGAGAGGGAGGGAGGAGGGAGGGAGGGAGGGAGGAGGGGGAGGAATAAGAAAGAGAGCGTGGAGGAGAGAGGAGGGGAAAGAAAGAGCAGCAGGAGGGGGTTTGGAGGATGGGGGGTGAAAAAGACCTGAGAGGAACTGAGGCAGGCAAAGATGGTGATGGGTGGTTAGGGATGGGGATCGAAACCCGGTTCTATCAAGGACCCGGTTCCACTTTTTTCAAAACCCGAAAATCAATACCGTTTGGGCTTATTATCGATACCACTATCGAGTCTGGTTGTTTTTTTTTATTATTACAATAGTAATTGTGAAATCCGTGTTGTAATCGGCAGCATACAAGCTAGTTAGCTTGAAAAGTAAATAAAGTTTCAGACGTGTTCAGATTGGCTCAGTAAAACGGCAATTAGGTTATCATGATGCGTTCAAGTGTAACGTAAAGAAAAGGGAAATTGAGTTTTTGGCGAGAAACATGAGTGATACAGTTGTATTTTGCTCTAATTATTTTAGAATATATAATCAAACTACTGATGCCAACATTTATAAAAAATTACATTTAATTTAAAATAAAATTATTTATTTGCTAAATATTGTCACATCGTCTTTCCACCAAATAACAGAAAAGTATCGATAGTGGTATCGATAAAGACTCGGATCGATAAAGGTATCGATATCAGTAAATATTAACGATCCCCATCCCTATACCAAAACAAAAACATTTTTATTTTTATTTTTTTCCCCCTTCTTTTCTCTTTGGTAGGTATGTATATGTGTGTGTGTATATGTGTGGGTATGTATATGCTCGTAAAAAGGTATGTAACTTTAAGAGCTGGATTGTTCTCTTGTTCTTGTCTTGTATTGTATTTGTTTGTTTGTCTAAACGTTAAAAACCAATAAATATAATTATTAAATAAATAAAAAAATAAAATAAAAAATAAATAAAATAAATAAATAAATAAATACATAAATAAATAAATAAATAAATAAATAAATAAATAAATAAATAAATAAATAAATATTAACGATCCCCATCCCTAGTGGTGGTGAGTAGATTTTTTACCAGAGAAAGAGAAGAGAGAACGGGGAGAATGGAGCACCTGGTGAAGGCACACAGTGACTCAGGCCACGGAAAACACACAAAGAATCGGCCATCAAACCCTGTTTGCCCAGAGCCGCCCCCCCCCTCCGGCCACCTGTTACCGGGCTGAACAAATGTTTAACCCTCTCACAGACTCCCGGGCAACGGCCCACGCCACACCTCCACCCCCCTCCATCCCCTCCACTCTTCTAAAAGATTCATCAATCCGGAGCGGAAACGTTTAGCTTTCGGATAAATCGGTCAACTGACGGAAAAACGCTTTCTTTTCTCACACATTTACCTCCAAATAACGATTATGAACAGTCAAAAATTGAATTGACTCAGATCCTTAAAGGAATCTGAGCTGTGACGGTGTGTTTTCTCTAGGGTTGTCACGATACTAAAATTTTCAACTTGATACAGATACTCAGGAAAATACTCGATACTCGATACCACAAGGATAAAAACAAAGAAAAATTTAACTGAATTGTGTCTTTCATTTCAAACTGACCTGTTACTGATGTTATCGTGACTGGTGGCCCACATTAAATACCCTAACCCTAACCCTGACCCTAACCCTAACCCTAACCCTCCACCCTTCATAATTGTGAGAAATAAATATTTTTTGGTTAAACTTGTTTGGACTTATTGTACAAACCTATTTAACATCCACTATTTTAACATAATATTATGTATAGAGTTTATTTAAGTGTTTGAAAGATCCATTTAACTATTTTTAAATTAATGTCTATATTGCCATGAGGCAATACATTTTTTTGCCTGGGATCTTCCTATTGGTGATGTAATCAAAATGGCCGACTTGGATGTGGGCGGAGTTGGATAGGTACTTGATGTTATCATTAGCCATTAGCCGCAGATAGAAATTCAAGGCTAACGTCTTGTTGATTATCATAAACAACGTAAATGAATACATAAATAAATCAGAGAGAAGGGGGGGTGGTATCGATACTTTTGAAAATGAGTATCGTATCCGGATACAACATTTTAGTATCCATACTTTTTCGAGCATCGATACTTTTGACGACCCTAACCTCCACACAAGACAAACTCAAAGATTAAAAACAGTAAGAGCAAAAAATAAAAAACAAAACCAGGTAAGAGAGGGAAATTAAGACATCTCACACATTTACCTCCAAATAATGATCACGAACAGTCAAAAATTGAATTGACTCAGATCCTAGCAGGAATCTGAGCTGTGACGGTGTGTTTTTTTCTCCTTGTGGCCATTTCTGGCCTCCGTCAGGGAGGGAGGCAGCTCTCTCTCATGTGAGTGACGCACTCTTGCCACTAAATCTGTGACCGCCTGAGGCTGAGGACCACAGACTGCAGATGTGTGGGGTCGTGACCCCTGGCTGACACCCGGCACAGAGAATCGCTTCCTGAGAGGCTGTTCGGGACGATTTTTCTGCTGGATTCCACCTCAAAACCCGCGTTCTGATCACTGGGGATGGTTAGAGACACAGAAGGAACAATGGTCTTCTTCTTAAAGGAGACATGTTATACCCTATTTCAACAAGTTAAACTAGTTCCCTGGTGTCCTAATGTAATGTCTGTGACAAGCTTTGGTCAAAATCCCATAAGGATGAAGCCCAATAGCAGTTCAGTCCCCCTGCCTAACCCTAACCCTAACCCTAACCCTAACCCAAAACAGCCCCGTTCAGAGCGCTCGCTTTGGAGTGCCTGTCTCTTTAAATGCAAATGAGACACAGGCAATCCACCCACTTCTTCAGGGAGGTGTGCCCACGTCGGCACGCTAACGCTACCATGCTAACGCTACCACGCTAACGCTACCACGCTAACGCTACCACGCTAACGCTACCACGCTACCATGCTAACGCTACCATTCTAACGCTCACGCTACCACCATTTAAGAAATACATTATTTTCTGTAACCATGGCGGGCGAAGCCCGCTTAGAGTGCTTTAGTCAGAGCCCGGTTCTGGTTCTGGTTCTGGGGATGTGACCCAACCGGACCGGGGCCGGACCCAGCCATGTCATACCTCGTTACGTAGGTCTTTTTCTCAGCTTTCACCCTATGTTACCCCCAACCTGCTCAAACCAATTGCATTCAGTCGGCAACCCCAGAGCTCAGCCGGGTCCCTCCATCACCTCAGGCCCTCTCATAGGCGCGAGCCCACATTACAGAGAGCCCAAATATCGATTGGCCGACCCGCCCCGGGTTCCCGGACGGGCAGCGGGTGGCCCCCCTCCAAAATTTCTTCAGAAATTTTCAAGTTATTATTATTATTATCATTATAATCATTATTGTTATTATTAGTAGTAGTATTATTATCACAAAAAAGTTGTCTCAGATTTGCTACTAGTGACAAGAGCTTGAATTTACAAACTTCAAACATAAAGCAGGAGCATATCAGATGATGAATAGCAATATATTTTATTCATTATTATTATTATTATTATTATTATTATTATTATTATTATTATTATTATTATTATTGTTGTTGTTTCTGTGTGATAACTTGTGTGTCTGTGTTTGTTAGCGGACTGCTCAATTTCTCCCAATTAATAAAGTTTTTTCCATCTACCTTAAGAGGAACCTCCAGATCCAAAGTGCATCTTTAAGGAGGGTAAAAAACGAGATGTTTGGGGGTCTTTGTGATGCAGCATCACCTCCTTATTCATTTTTATCCGCGTGTGGGTGTGCGACACACATGTGTGAGTGTTTGTTTGTGATTTGGAGTGTCTATGAAGGCAGATTCACCACTGAGCCAAAGCTGAAGCCAACCAGCTAGTCTGAGGCCTCCAGTTCTGGGAACGCGTCCAGGGGCTCCAATCCCACCACATTCCCCCGGATTAGCTGTCAACCGGTCCCCGGATCTGGGGATTAGCACATTATATTCCATTATCTTCCCCAAACTGGAGAGTCCACAAAGTCGGTGGGCCAGTGGAACGGAGCTGAGTAAGAGTCGCCTTTCGAAAGGGAGCCAAAAACTGAGAGGAGCCGGTCCAAATCTGTAACCGAGACGCTGTTCTGGCTCAAAGTTGCCTGGCAACCGGATTAGATCCAGGGAAACAAACAGGAAAACTGTGTTTTCGTTTATGAATCGACGGCTCCCCAAATTACAAAGACGATCGGACGACTACAGAAACGGTCCGGTGCCGGGTTATCTGGCCTTTTTTTCCCGCTCCTTTTCTCTGGGGAGCCATGTTGTTTTTGGCCCGGTGATCCGGGGGGCAATAGGGACTCCATCAGTCTACAGGGACCAGGCAGTAATCAGACACAGGCAGAGGCCTCCACACCCCTGGGGCCACACACACCTCACACACACCACACACACACCACACACACACCTCACACACACCTCACACACACACCTCACACACACCTCACACACACCTCACACACACCTCACACACACCACACACACACCTCACACACACCACACACACACCTCACACACACACACACACCACCACCCAGAAACCCCCAGAAGGCCCAGCAGCTTCATTGGCATTTTTCTGCTGTCGGAGCCACAACTTCATCAATCTATCTACTATCTATCTATCTATCTACTATCTATCTATCTATCTATCTATCTATCTATCTATCTATCTATCTAACCATCCATCCACCCACCCTTCCATCCATCCATCCACCTTTCCTTCCTTCCTTCCTTCCTTCCTTCCTTCCTTCCTTCCTTCCTTCTTTCCTTCCATCCATCCATCCATCATCCATCCATTTATATCTGCACCACATTTACGTTTCACACTAAATTTACTCCCTTATCCTTCCTGTGTATACATATTTATATATCTATAGTCACATTTTTACAGTTTTTCTGGTTATCACATTCACATTTGGGGATATCAGTGATGCACCAACATACTTTCCAATAAAGCTTTTTTTGTCTGATTCTGATCCATCGGCATCAGACTGAAGCAGAGAAATTACCTCTGATCAACTCAACCCCAGCTGGTAAAAGAAGATGCATTTTCAAACAGAAGTGGGGTTTTTAGTAGCCACAGCGCATATTTTTGTGAGGTGAAATTACGAAAAAAACACAGAATCTCACACATTTCTCACCATCAGCACTCATTTTAACTATTTGATTTGAAATTAGGGACGCGAGAAACTTAAAAATCCACACAAATCACCTCTGAGCTCCAGCCAGAATCACACAGACTCGATCAGGCCTCCGTCTTTCCTCCCCTCCAACACGTCGAGGCCCGAACTCCAGTTTGACTCGTATTGTCAAACCGAGCCAATTACGGAGCGGCGGTGGCGCCCGCGTCTCTCCAGAGGCTGATTAACGCCGGCGGAGGCACAAAGAGTCCTAAACGGCGGCGGAATTTGCCCCGATTTTGAAGCCTGATACTCAGCTATATGTCAACCGGAGCCGCCATTAAAGAGCCGACACGCAGGCCTCCAGCTGGCTTACCTCTGAAGAAAGGTGTAGGAAATTATATGGCATTTAGATTAATTAGACACAGTTGTCAGATTTAATTAACTACTAAGTTTAATTAACCATGTAATTAATCTTATGGTGGTCCAACACATCCACACACACACACACACACACACACACAGAGACAGACTCACATCAACTGGTGGCCACACAGGCATGAACAGTACATGTGA